TCAAACAAAACTAAACTTATTACAACTTTTAAGTATAGTATTGTCATATTGATTTAAAAATGTATGGGTGAGCCAGATAAAAGACAGAGAGAATAAAGTCCCCATAAGTCACAATAATGAGGACAATAAAAAAGTTTATTTGGTATATTCAATATTAAATGTATTTTGTTTTAAACAGGTCAAATCATGTTCTGACTTAAAAGAGTCAGTCCAAAACTAAAATAAATTTATTGAAATATTTAAGCCGGGCATTGCAGGGCTTAAAGGAAGTACACCTAGCTTTGATTGGAAATTTTGTTCTGCAAATTGACTTAAACAGGTCAAGTCATGTTCTGACTTTAAAAAATTAGTCAAAAACTAAATTTATTGAAATTATTAAGTCAGGCATTGCCATTTGATATTAATGATAATGTATGGAAAAATCAATTAATAAACTCAACAGTGGCAGATTCAGAAGGGGGCTAAGAGGAAGAACACATAGCTTTGATTGGAAATTTTGTTCTGCAAATTGACTCAAACAGGTCAAATCATGTTCTGACTTAAAAGAGTCCGTCAAAAACTAAATGGATATGCATAAAATCTGGTTCATAATTTTTGAAAAGATGGAGAGATTAATGAGTCTATATTTTGTTATTCCGACTCACAAATGTCACTATGTGACAAATTTCGGGAATTTTTCTCTCCTTTTGACTGATTCCTATATGTTGTATGGGTGCCATAACTATCACTACAACATGTACAAAGTCAGCACATTCTAAGGGACGCCATCAAAAGACCAATGTAGGATAAAAAAACTTAAATCAAATAGTTTGGGGGTGGGAGTGGGGTTAAAGTTGCTGCAAGTTTTGTTTATCCAAAATCGATTTTACATAAATCCATATTGGTCAATCAATCTTTCCCAAATTAAGTTAAGAGGGGGGTGGGTGGGTCAGTGAAAAAACTATGTGATGTGAATTAAGTTTTTTATCCTATATTGAACTTTTGATGTCGTCCCTAATGACTTGACCTATTACAGTATTTCTGTCTGAATTTTTTATGAATATTCTGTATTTACTAATTTAACTACATGTATGTTATTGCAAGTGTATTAATTAGCTTTGTTTATTACTTATATTAAACTAAACCTCTATTAATCAATTATCTTTACTCTGGTTATTGATTATATAAGAAAAACTCTGCCTATTACTATATGACTGTAATCTAAACTCTGATTGTTAACATCCTGGATTGCATATCTGCATGACCATTAAACTCATGGTATACCCATTTTATTTGAGGATATAAAAGTATTGTTTTTTCAATATAACATTTTCAGACACATTGAATCTGTGAAGACAACTTTCAATTTGACTTTAGAAATTAAAGAGTTTGTAAGCAAAATGTTGGGGAAATTTAATTATAATTAAGAATGTTTAAAATTAGTTGTCCTTCAAGAAGCCGTACATATAATCCATAATATTTTCACTGTTTTTTAAATACATGTAAAAGTTGAAAGATAACTATCTATTGATTTTTTTTTTAAACAGCTTTTTTCACAACACTTATAACTTTGTAATTTATGTTCCATTGTACACTTGTTATTCACAATATCTTTAAAAAATTGTTATTTGGGAACAAAATCTTGTCAGGGTTTCTTATGGTACTAGCATGACAAGTGCATTCATATTCTAAAATACTCTAAACATTAAAAAAAGTCAGTATTTCCAGATCATTCTGAGTCTTTCTGACCTTATTAAGTCAGAACATTCAGACTTTTATAAGTCAGAACATTCAGACTTTAATAAGTCAGAACATTCTGACTTCCAATGTTCTTCTCACTTCTGTAGAAACAAAGACTATCTATGTCTCAAATAAGAGGTAAATGCTTCATGTGGCTAAGCATCTGGGGTAAGAATTATAGATGTGTAATTTCAGAGGAAAACAAATATGCCAAAATTTTTTTTTTTTTTCATATAGATTAGACCGTTGTTTTTTCCGTTTGAATGGTTTTACACTAGTAATTTTTTGAGGCCCTTTATAGCTTGCTGTTCGGTGTGAGCCAATGCTCCGTGTTGAAGGCCGTACCTTGACCTATAATGGTTTACTTTTATAAATTGTCACTTGGATGGAGAGTTGTCTCATTGGCACTCATACCACATCTTCCTTTATCCATGTAATTAATAAGATGTGATGCATGTGAGAGGAAAATAATACTGAATAGACAATTCTGTTTGCACAAACACTGATAAATATAATATGTAAAGGTGGTCTCTCAGCAGATTAAAATAAACAAGAAATAATTGTAACAGGATGCTGTTACGAAGTCCCCCAAACAAATTTAAGCTCCCATAATTCGTCATTCCCATGGTTGCCTGACATTGGGCAAGTTCCAGTACAAATTGGTTTTGTCTAGTAAAGTGATATGCATAAGTGACGCCTAGGGTTTGACCCTGCATGTCATTCAAATCTTCTTGAAATGACGAACAGGAATATCATATGGTTTACCTTTAGGGGTGGTGATCCAGAACATTTCAAAAAGGGGGATGGGGATGTCCCCAATGGACTTCCCCTATATTTCATTTGATTTGTTTTATTGTCCTGTGCAAGAATGTATATGGTGTAGGGGTGGGGATCTCGACCGTTTACAAGTTTTCAAACATGAGGGGGTGGGGTGACCCTCAGGGACTCCACCTTTATTTCATTTGATTTGTCTTATTTACCCTTACAAGAATATATATGGTTAAGGGGTGGGGATCCCGACCGTTTACAAGTTTTCACACAGGAGGGGGTGGGGGTGACCCCAAGGGACTTCCCCTATACTTCATTTGATTTGTTTTATTGTCCTATTCAAGAAAATATATGGTTTAGGGGTGGGGATCTCGACCGTTTACAAGTTTTCAAACAGGAGGGGTAGGGGTGACCCCCAGGGACCTCCCCAACATATCATTTGATTTGTTAAATTGTCCCATACAAGAATATATATGGTTTAGGGGTGGGGATCTCTACCGTTTACAAAATATAAGAACATTTGCAAATGGCAGGGGTGGGGGTAAACCTGGAGACTAGCCCGGTATATTTCATTCAAATCAATTTGACATTATAAAGAGGAATAGAGAAATGACAGGGATAGGGGTGATCCCTGGAGACTTGCCCTACATTTCATTTGATTTGTTTTATCATGTCCCATGATCATAAATGAAGACCAGGTGTGTGCATCACTTATTGTTCTCAAGTTATAACTTTAAAAATTAAAAAAAAAAACCCTTGGGTTCTTTAGTTAAACCCCTCCCTTCCTTTTTCTTTTATTAAAATTTTTCCCATTTTCGTTTCATTATCATCATATCAATATTCACAATGATCGTTTTTCTCATAGGGAGAAACGAATCAGAAAGGTTAAAAAGTCAGTTCGTGATTGAGTTTAAAAATAGAAAAATCACGTGACGATGTTCAGCTCGAAGCAATAATTTTACTTTTTAAATTGCACTGACTGGTTAATAATGTTAATATTGTTTAAGACAACACGAGTTATCTCCCGAAAATAACAATTCATTATCATAACAACATTTTCTGACCTGAACAAGTCAGAATTGTCAAACACCAGGTCATCTAAAAGACCACGCGTCCGTATTTACAGGTCGCGCGCCTTCATGAAACAGCAAAAAAATCACTTGCAAGGAACTTCTTTATAGGCAAAAAATATAAAAATGCCCATGAAAATACGGAGGTAATATGAATTACCTTTCTAAAAATGCCCACAATGACCTAGATTTTCACTAAAAATCGTAAATAATCAATATAATATTCAATGACTTCTCGTTCGAGACACTTCCAAAACAACGACTCTCAAACACGTGATCTCTTGCAAAAAACCACGTGATCGTATATGTCGTAGATCGGCGGCAAATTCAAAATAACTTCTGGTTTGACGGACTCGAGTGAAAACTACGCAAAACAAAAATTGACGCGTACAGGTCAGAATTTCAAAACACTTTCTGACTTGAAGAAGTCATTTTATTCTGACTTGTTTATGTCAGAGCTCTGACTGATTAAACTGATAAAACCAATAATCTGACAATTTTGTGTGAACAAATTCGTTACATACTTTTATTTGATAAAATCTTCTGTATGTATGGTTTCACCCTTAAGATTTTGTGTAATGTGCGTCTAGAATTAGGGAAACCCCTGTTTTGAGAGTTTTTCAAATGTCTGGCAATTTTGCGCATGCCTTCTAAAAATATCTTATTCTTAATAAAGGAAAGATTTTATAATACGAAATATAGTTGAATTTGACCCAAACAGACTGCCAGAAATGCAGAGCAAAATTTATTTCAATCTGATATAAATTTGACTTAAACATGTTAAACAGTTAAATGAAACAAATTTTATCTGATGATGTAATTTTTTAAAATTAATGAAAATTGGCTAAATATGGTTTATCATGGGATTACAGTTATAAATGTACTCTTGAACTTATCAATTCTTATCTTTCCAGTGTCCCTGCGGAAGACTAAAACAATTACAAGAACGATTCTATTTGTGTTACATCGCGGATATGACGAAATCAGCTAATGCACGATATCACCGGCCACACGGACACCAGGGACTCCACTGTAAATCAACGGAGCCTAAAATATAGGTCAAAATAACAATCTTTTGTAAGCTGCTGCTATACTCCACTCAACCAATAATCAAACTAAGCTATCTGATGATGGTAGTTATATATAGATAGGCCAGACTGTCTATTATAATCTTATAATAAACGCATGCCTATACCATAAATGTCTTGCACTTGCTTTGAATTGTCACAAGTCTGGACAAGTTATGAATACTTTTTAAATATTTGTCATCCACTGTAGGATTTTCTATGAATGTTTTAAGAATAATTCTTTGTTCTTGAATTACAAAAATGTAACTAGTGTGTCCTGCTTTTAAATCTCTACATACTATTAACATGATTAACACCAGCATGACCAGTGTAAATATATATACATCTAACATGATGGTCTCATGAGATTACCTACCAGGTACGTAAACAACACATTTCTGCAAATGAAATTAGCATTTTGGTAAAACTTCCATCGTTCAAGTTATATTTTTCCACATCATCCGCTAAGTCCCTAAGTGCTTCAATGAAATTGCCAACTCGAAGTCTGAAAGAGCTGAAAAAATGAAATAACAAGTTTAAAGATGCTGTACTTACAATGTATTAGATATTAAGAATATGTGGTATGAGTGCCAATGAGACAACTCTCCATCCAAGTCACAATTTGTAAAAGTAAACCATCATAGGTCAAAGTACAGCCTTCAACACAGAGCCTTGGCTCACACCAAACAGAAAGCTATAAAGGGCCCCAAAGATGACTAGTGTAAAACCATGAAAACCAATCCGAAAGGAAAACCAACTGCTCACATATAAGACCACTTATCTGATTGCTCCTATCAATTAATCCTCACCTACTTGTAATTTCAATCAAGACATTCAAATGATAGTAACCGGTTTTTTACGCAATTTATTTTTTCAAATCTGGTGAAAGCTTTTTAGAAAGCAACTACAGACCACTCCATCATCTTTTGAGAATGCATCTGAATGATGACTTGTCTAAGCATAAAATGTTCACCATTTGCCATATAAAATAAATGCTTGGTATAGTTTTCTTTTGGTTTGTTCTTTTATTTACTGGGTTCAGCTAATGGTCAATCAAAATAATTCCAAAATATATATCATGAATAGTTATACATTATATTATGTCACGCAGGCTTTATAAATTCTTCCGTAGATTTCTTAGTTTAGTTTTTGAGATAAAAGGTTGAAATCTTAATTACAAAATATTTTTTCCATGGGACACAGGTGATAACCCCGTTTGCATATAACCTTATAAAGGGATATAACTCAAGAACGATAAAAGTGAAGCTACCCAAATTAGGACTTGATCTGAGGCAAACTGAAGTAAAAGAATGGAAATGAAAAATTCAGCAATTTTTCCATTTGTAAAGGGGCATAACTCTAGAACAGTGAAAGTGACCCTCCCAAAATTCTAGTCCAAATAATTATGACGTCTTGAAAGTCTATTTTAATTTTTTTTTCTGTGACGCCTTCCTAAGCCGTCACAGAAAAAAAATTAAAAAATTTGTAAGGGTTCTGCGTAACCCAGTGTCTCGCCTACTTTTGCTGTAAATCGCAGGCTCAACAAAAATGAGGAAAAAAATCAATAAAAATATTCCTTTAGAAACTATCTTTTGATTGTAAGAAGCTTCTGTCAAAGTTTGGTATAAATCCAGGATAGTTTATGAATCTAATAAATGTTTTAAAAACTTTAACTGCAGACTGTATTTAATGTTAACTGGAAGAAAAAATGTCCATTTATAAGTAAAATACGGATAAACAGACACAAAATTTTATCAAAATTTCCTTCTAGATACTAGCTTCTGATCATAAACAAGCTTCTGTCCAAGTTTGGTACAAATCCAGGATAGTTTAAGAAAGTTATTAAAATTTTAAAAACTTTAACCACAGAGTGAATGTATTGTTTCCTGGCAGAAACACTAAGTCCATTAATAAGTAAAATACGGGAAAGAAATTTTTTTTTTAACAAATTTACTTCTGGATACTATCTTATGATCATAAACAAGCTTCTGTCCAAGTTTGGTACAAATCCAGGATAGTTTAAGAAAGTTATTAAAATTTTAAAAACTTTAACCACAGAGTGAATGTAATGTTTCCCGGCAGAAAAACTAAGTCCATTTACAAGTAAAATACAGAAAAACAGGAATTTCATTTTTACAAAACTTACTTCTGAATACTATCTTATGATCATAAACAAGCTTCTGTCCAAGTTTGGTAGAAATCCAGGATAGTTTAAGAAAGTTATTAAAATTTCAAAAACTTTAACCACAGAGTGAATATTTGTGGATGCCGCCGACGGAATGTAGGATCGCTATGTCTCTCTTTTTCGACTAAAGTCGAAGGCTTGACAAAAAGCCTTTCAACATGTTCAAGACGTCATAATTATTTGGACTACCAAAATACCAACTTGATCTGTGTTTTGTGGTAATAAGCATTGTGTATAAGATTCCTAACATTTGGTTGTGGCAAACTTAAGTTAGAGATCAAAAACGAAAATTCCGGATTTTTTTCATTTGTAAAGGGGCATAACTCTAGATTGGTAAAAGTGACCCCATCCAAACTCCAACTTGATCTGTGTTTTGTGGTAATAAGCATTGTGTATAAGTTTCATAACATTTGTTTGAGGCAAACTAAAGTTAGATAACGAAAAATAATTTCATGATGTACAGACTTAGGGATGGAAGGACAGACAGACAGACAGACTCTAACAGACTAACTAACAGACAGACAGACAGACAGACAGACAGGCAAATATACAACTAAATGCCCTCTCAGCTACTGTCGGGGCATAAAAAAATTGTAACAGTATGTTTTGACCTTCAAAATCTTGAGAATTAAAGGTGTTGTAAAAAATTACTCATATTTAGTAGATTTTTAAATAAAATTAAGGGGAGACAATTCAAATCTTAAACAGGCCTCTACAATAACTTTTTTTTCAACTTGCCTAATAGGACAAGTACATACCAAAACTTACTTGTCCGAATGGAATTGTAACTTGTCAACAAAAAAAAAACCTTTGTATTAACCTTTTTTGCATTTTAGGTTGATTCAATGAACAAAATGAATTTAAACAATAGAACAGAATTTGATTTATATCTCTTGATATCCTTTTCAAAAATATGAGTCGAGAACAACTGAATCTAGTCATGTCTAGTCACAGGACTTAGGTTTTAGTTTTCATCAATGCCAATTAAAGTCTCATCAGACTCTACACATCAGGCACAGTCTGGTAGGCCTGTCAGTCTACACTCATTTGGTTTGTATTCTGGTCTTTTATGTTGATAACATGTTGATTATTATTACAATCAGCATTGTTTTTAATATATAAAAATGTTTATTCAAACACAATAAAATATTGTTTGTCTAAATATGATCAAATATGATTTTCTGAATTTGATGGTCAATTATTTCTTCATTTTTATTTTCTAAATATTTTTGTTAAATAAGATTTATCATATATTTAATATAAAGCAACAGAATAATGTAGGGAAACGATGTACTGGTTTGTCTTGGTCCCGAAATGTCTCAAACAGTGCCAAACTGTCTATTAGGCCATGCAAAAATGATTGTTGGTTTCCCCTAACCCTGCCGGGTCAGTTTTTACACTCCGGTTCGATCCTTTTTTTTTTTTTTTTTTATTTTTTTTTTTCTTTGGGCAGAGGAAAAAAAAGTGTTGCTCTGGTTTCTTTTGACAATTTTCAATGATGCTTTTATTTAAAATTGTCTGCGGATAATCATTTAAAAGTGTGTCAGCATTATGCTCAATTATTCCTTTGTTTATATAGCTTATACCACAAGATAGAATGTAAAACAAGAATTTACTGTCGGGTTAGCAACAACATTCTCTGCTTTGTAAAACCGCTTTTTCACAAAAAAATAACATAAAATAAAAAGTTTTTCCTGCCTGCCGGTCCTTGATAATATTCATATGTTAGGGGAAACCAACATTCATTTTTCCATGACTTTCTTTTTACAGATAATATGTTAAATAGTCTCAATAAAATGCTCCGCTGGGGCGCAGCTTGATACGACCGCAGAGGTCGAACCCTGAACAGTTGGGGCAAGTATGGACACAACATTCAAGCTTGATACAGCACTGAATTTGGATTGTAATTAAATATTTGACACAGCATAGGTTTCTGACACAGAATGAAAGTGGTCTAAGAACTTAAAAATTTTCAATTTACCTATTCATACATGTGATGGACTGTGAAACTCAGATCAGGAGATTGGGAAATTTTGGTCAGGAGATTAGGACTCAGATCAGGAGGTTTTTAATCGACATTAATTTTGTTGTAAATGTAACCGTGTGCTGTAAAAATGGTCTTTTAAAGTGTGTTTTCTTCAACTTTCCATCCAATTTATTATGTTTATAGTACCCTTGTACTTATAAAGTTTCTCCATCTTTATATTCTACATGTTCAATCTAACATTGTATTTTTCCAGTATGTTCTTTAAATTTTTTACTTCATATTCTATAAAACAATCATTGCAACCAGAACATTTGTTTCGTTATCTGCAAATAGTTTTTTTTTTTTTTTTTTCTCTTGCAAATAGTTTTTATTTGCAAACTCAGAAAATCATTTTATCTGTAAAATTAGGGTCATAGTTATTATATAAATTTCAATTTAAGCCTTGAAAGGAAGTCTAGAATCCTCAAATAATTTTCAAATTATTATTTTTTTATTTGTCCTAAGACATTTAAAATCATTTAATAACCATCCTTTTATGATTATTTGTTCAATTTATATTTTATTTTTATTCTTTTAAAAATTTTCATTATTAAAAGGAAAGTAACTTAAAACAGGATAAATCAAGGGAAGTAACCCAATAAATACACAGTTTTTGTTACACAACGGCAGTTAGCCTGAGGTAAAAATCGTTGATTACCTGTATGTTTGACACCCAAGCTGACAAGTGAAGCCATATAATTATGCAGGTTAATTGATTTACAGGTAAAATATAACTTCAGGTAATGTCAGTTACACCAGATGCCTGAGATGATATGTTGGGCAGAAATTTTTCATTCATGAAAAATTTCATACACGGGATTTTTTCCTCTTCAACGGGAGGTCGGGAGGAGACCCCTGAAAACGGGATTATTGTACTCCCGTCGGGAGGTTCACATGTATGCCTATTCAAACCATATCATTATTATTTGCTTTTATAAATAAATCAGAAATAACCAATTTAAAATGGAAAATGTTAAAGAAAAAAAAGGAAAAAAAAATCCCCCCCCAATTTTTTGAACCCCCTTATGATTCATCACCCCCAAACTCAATCCCAGCTTTCCCTTTGTGGTATGGTACCTTGCAGTACAATTTCAGAGAGATTCATACACTTGAACACAAGTTATTGTCTGGAAACTAGAAAAATGCTTGTTTTTTGGCCCCTTTTTGGCCCCAAATTCCTAAACGTTTAGGGCAATTACCCCCAAACTCAATTCCAGCTTTCCCTTTGTGATATGGAACCTTGCAGTACAATTTCATAAAGATCCATACACTTACACACAAGTTATTGTCCTGAAACTAGAAA